GATCTCGGTGCCTGCGCTTCCCTACGGCGGGCGGGCACTGCTCTCCCTCCGCGCCTCCGGGCTCTTATATACACTCTAGGGGTAGGGCAGACAAGACCACGTGGATAGTGGGGTGCTCTGATTCGGTTTTGGGTACTTTTTGGATATTAAATAAGTAAGTCAATAAGTAAGTAAACACTTTATTGTAGTAAGAATTAGATAATACAGAAGGTTGCAAACAATAAAATAAAAGTACAAAAGCTGTACTAATTAAGAAATACAAACAAGTTGCAAACAATGAAATACAAGTACTAAGGTGGAACTTAAATAGTGTAAACTTTATTCTACTTTATATACATATATAATTGCACTTATCAGCTCTTCCTATGCATCTAATTGGTTTGTCATAATTTTTCATCTCCAAAATTAATGAAATGTACTCGATACCAAGTAGTATTGATACTTTTGATATGATACTTGGTATCGAGTAGGTATCGATACTTTCAAAATATTCGGAACCCTACACTAACTGACGTTTGACATCAATCATTTGTCAAATTTATTTTGTAATTGTGTGTTATTTACCAATTTGTATGAAAAGTTTAAAAAAATATATCTCATGAACCGTAAGTTTCCGCAACCTAAAACTTTGCAAAACGCTTTCTTTTAGTGAGTACTATCTATAAAAAAAATATGGGCTTTGAAATCGATGGTCCATATTGGAAATATTAGCCAAACTTTGCTTTATATATTGTATTATCCCCTTGTAGTGGAGGCAGAATACCCACTACCTCATATCATCCCTTGGATATTCTAAAAACTTACAGAGAGAAACAGAAACAAAAGATGTAGCATTATCATAACAACTGCAGTTTCTCACCCATCTGACAAGTATGATACTAAGGCAAGAGTGGAATTTTATTGGGTTGTATCAAATGAAACATTAATAAATATTAAATTATTAATGTTGTTAATTATTAGTCAGAATCAGCAGACAAATTTGGAGAGAGAGAAAGAGAGAGGTAGATAAAGCATTTTATTTACATTAAAAAAAAAACATTGTACAAAAAAAACTACCACAGTTTAAAGTCTCTTCTTCTGTTATTCTCTACTGTGGTACTACTTATGTTAGGCAATTTCTACTTAATATAAATAATATAGGTACTCATTTATTCAACATAGTAATAAAGAATACAAAGCAGTCAATGTACATTTTCAGGAATTCGGTAAATTAAAAGAGAACTACATACCACGGAAGTAATTTTATAAATAGTAAATCCATTTTTATGTTTTGCTGTTTCGTCTACGGCAAACCGGCGAACCCACTTGTCTCTAGTCGACATGTTGCAAAATTTACGAGTTTATTATTTTATTCACAAAACACAGCTGCTTTTTATTCATTAACTTAAAGCCAATATAATAAAATAATAACATATTTTACGCTTTAGATCATAGAAAAGTAAAAAATGAAGGCAAAAAATAAATATAATTCTGACGTATGAAACAAGTGTTACCAAGGGTAAAATTAAAAATAGCTTGCTACCAGTGTTGCTAACAACAAAATTTGAACTAAACTAGCTCACCACCAGATTCAACCTCTAAAACCACTAGAGAACCATAACAAAAAGCGAGTCTACACTAATAATAACTTACTTATTTCTAAACTAAACTTATTTCTTTAATACAAATTTTTTATGAATTACGAAAGAAAAAATTACGGTATAATATTCCTAATCTTTTATTATTACGTACTGTGCAAACACCAATTGATATAAAATAAATAACAATCAATTGACATATTATAACAAGTCAATGTCCAGAGTATAGTATTTAATTAACTTTTCAGTTAATAATTTTTGCCGGCACCATCATCATCGGTTTCTATCATCATGCTTATTTGCTACTTGACCGGTAGTTCTTTCAATCCTGCAACCAAAACCACCCTTCAAGCTTGAAATTCGCTTCCAGGCAAACATCGTGTGCAATCTTCAGCACCTGTAATCCAGCCTAAACCCAAGGTTTAGGTGTAGGCATTTAAATAAAGATTCCTATTTCTTCAAGCAACTCCACTGTATTTGCTACAGTGTTTGACATAGCTGCGAACCGTAACTGCAAGCCTTTGCTTCACGGCACTCTTGTAGATTACTTGTCTTCAGTGCCTGGTTTACAGTTCTAACACCCCTAGAGAAACCATTAATATGCTCCCCCCCATCCAACGGCCCGTTTCGTCTGTACCTGCCCATCCAATGATTATATTTATTAGATTTTTATATTTTACTAGCTTTCCACCACCCAGTTGTTCCCACATTAAATCAACTTTTCCTGATAGTTTGTGTTAGATAGGTAGTGTAAATTTTAGGTGCCGGCCTTCTTAAGTAAAGGGAGAGAGAGAAGAGTAAGTTAGTTTCTTGAAGGTATCTAAGTCGTATTGGTTCGGAAAATCACCGGTGGTAGATTATTCCACGTAGAAGTACCGCTAAGCGTCCAGATGGTGGTAGTGACATTTTTCTCGATATACCTCGGTGGAATTTGGCGGCTAGAATTAATCCCAACAATTTGTATAAGTACTCCCCGTGGAAAATGGGATAGAATTGTAATGGGATGCAACATATCTTCGCAACGCCAGTGAATCGAGCCGATCAATAAGAACTCGGTCGTTAACGATTCGAGCCACTCTTTGCTAGATACTGTCAAGTGAAAGCCCCGGTCCAGAAATGAAAACAGTACTCCTTGTGAGGGCGAATTTGCGTCTTCTAAAGTTGCAATCGGTGTGCCGGCATGAAATACTGTCCCACTCTGCTGAGCACGCCAAGTTCATTCTGGAATGTAGCAAAAACATCGCGTGATGGTCAGCGGTGTATACCTCCAGTCATCGAGAGTCGAGTTGGACTCAAAAAAGTTCGACTTTCTCCTTTGCGGCATGAACAAGTGAGTTATCCTCCGTGTGCAGAGATGGAACATATGGCTGACAGAAGTTCTCTTAGACAGCCTTGGCAAAACATCATAACAAAATGAGAGGTAGAAAAAAAGAGCTTAAGCAGTTTAAAATCTTTGAATTACGTCCAATCAGTCATCGATCCTATTTTTACAATCTATTCAGTCATTTTGTACCAAAAATAATGAAAGAGCAAACAAATAAAATACTTGCGGCACTTACTTTATTATTTATTGCGAATATTAGGATATCAAATTTTATTCTGTAGTTAAGTGTGCTTGTAAAGCAAGCTGAGCGTCCCCACGAACAATGCGCTCCAGGCTACAGCTTGGTTAGTCTGTGGGAAATCAGGTCCTGCTAGTCTTCTTCTAGACTCACCGAAGACTACAAGGCAACTTCTAGCTCTTACACATTCCGCGGCGACTAGACTGCACCATCATCTGGGACTGCGGTGATGTGGTAGTGCTTTCATCACATACAATACTATAATACACAATAGAATGGCTGTCAACTTTATTATATATTGTATATGGGGTCGCCGAACCTGATTCACTGTGTTGACAGACTGAGTAAATTTACACCTTAGACTTTTGATTAATGTTCAAGATCATCATTAGACTTTAATACATATTTATTTGTAAATAGGGTGCAATTTGGCATTTTCTAAACATGTTGCATGCGAAATTTGGAAACGATTGTAACGTCAAAACACATCTCGTGTTGACAATTATACGTGTGAATTGACGTGTTTGTGACATTTTAGTGGCTACGCAGGCTCCGCCCACTCCCCGTTCTATTATGTATGTATTATAGTTTCACTGTCTACGATTATAGTATTCTATGTTTCATCACGCCACAAACGAAACAAAACTAACCCTAAATCATCTATCTAAGTTTTTGTAGTGCGTTGGCATATATAGAAATAGAAAATATATCTTTATTTATGCACATGCATGTCAATTTTATAAGTAATAAACTTTCCAATTTTTATTAGGCAGTGATGATGATTATGTTCTATGTTCATCATTAAGTACGCACGTTATACCAACTTGCTGTACATATTCAAACTATTTCTCTCTTCCCAAGGTTTTGCTGAAAGAGAACTCTTTTTAGATTCAAGCCCACCTTTATACATATTTTTTAAATATTTAAAATTGTTAATATCTTAAAGTGTGTATCTTATGTGTGCATATATATGTGTGATATATATGTGTGTTTATATACGTATTACGTGTCTTATGTATGTGTGTATCTTAAAGTGTCAGTACAATAAAGAAAAAGTGGCAATACACATTTTAATGCGTCGGTAACCTCCATATTACTCAACTCAAGGCTCACCTTTAAGTATTTTGAAAACTCAAAGAGGCTCACTGATAAGCTGACAAGGTTTATTTCTTATGTCATTGTTGATAATAGATGCCGCTAACGGACGCCTACTACGTTTGTCTCGTATAATTTTTTTCTCTATATACACTCTATAAACTATACTTTTTCGCTGAAATGAAGTATCTACTTAACATTTATTTATTTAGGTACTTTTTCTTATCTTTAACTAATCGAACAGGTGTGTGTAATGTGTTTATTTACTTATAGAGGCTTTCATTACAGCAAATTATTTGTGATAGATGTCGCTGTTAGATTTTTAACGTTTCGAAGTTTCGAGTACATAATACGTTACTAAAAAAAAGTGAAAACTAAAACGAAAGCACGGAATAATATGGAGCATAATTTTTCATAATTTTATTTTGAATAAATAATCAGTTATCCTAGGAATGTGGAATTGCGATGTTTGAGCGATAATCATAAAAATGCGTAATATGTATATTTTATAAAGTTGGTCTCAAGTTATAACTTATCCCCACCATCTCCCGCACTCTGCCGAATGGCGCACGGCGAGAGGTCGTGCACGCGCTGTCTGGGTCGTATTCTGATGTCGTGTTTCTGGTGTCCTCGTGTTTGCTATACTTTTCCTTTGTGACGTGATTATATTGTGGTCTAACAAGTGATTTTAAATAAGTTCAAGTTAAAACATGTGTTATGAATAACTTTTTTACTCCATACATTTTACCAACTCAACAATAGTAATATGGGTTCCAAAATCGAATACGTTGATTCGTCGCACCTATACGCCACAAACTACGTCCGTAATTCGAAAGCTATAGGTGTGCTTTGGGCTATTTTCACGATTTGCTATGCCATTATAAGCGTTGTGGCCTTCGTGACTCCAGAGTGGATTGGTGATTTGGAGACTGAATATCCAAGAAAATTTGGCTTATGGCAGATATGCAGAGCAGACGAATCAGTGGAAGACTGTAAAGGAAAACTAGATGACTTTTTCTCAATAAACGGCTTTGTATTCAGGATAGCGACCGTGTTAGTGGGATCAGCTGTCGCCTTAGCGCTGTTTACAATATGCGCGATGCTGCTGTTCTTCTTTTGTCAATCAACAACTGTTTTTCACATCTGTGGATGGCTCCAGCTGTTATCAGGTTAGTAAATATTCTTATCGACTTTAAAAATACCGTTACGTACCAGAAATTCTTTACCCAGGTAGAAAGGAGCGAACATCCAATAACCGTAGTATAATTTACATTATACTAACTTATTAATATTTAAGCGAAACTTGATTATTTAAAATATTTTTTTAATTAGCAACAATCGTCATTTTATTGGCTATATTAATTTAATAAATTCAGAGAAGTGAAAGTCTATAACTACCTCCTGCATTTGTCTGTTTTATTCTATGACCTTCCAACATAGCAAAGTGTAAATTTGTTTGCTTATGTCAACTGCATTCTAGTATAAATAGTAAAGAGAAAGAGAGAGCAACCTCAAACATTTCTTATATTTACTGATTTTTATGGATATGTAAGTATGTGTGCGTGTGTGTGTAATTAATAATATATAATAAATCTATATGTACCTATCTCTTTTTGTGTTGTTTATTATTATTGCATTACTTTAATTATTGTAATTTTTTTATAAAAAAACCCCTCAGTTTCTGGATCTTATTGTTGGATCTTCCCTGAAAAGATGTATTTTCCGAACCAGTGGTAAATTAAACATAAAAGCATACTTCAATAAGTACTTAGGTATTACATATTTAGGTCAGCAAATTTTGTTTCGGAATTCCGTTTTGCAATTCGGATTCAGGATTCCGAATGCAGCAAGTCCATATAAAATCAATGACCCGCACACACCTAAGGTAGTTTTTCGTTCAAAATTTTGGGGGCAAAATAGGTTTCTGTATGTGTAAGGTCGACCCGTCTGTTCTGTTTCGGAATTCCGGAACGGAATCCCGAAACGGAATTCCATAAATGTATGTGCGCAGGCCTTATAATCTCCATAGAGTTGTAGAGATTGTTTTTATAATGTTAGTAGCTAACTTTATTTCGCATGCTCATCAGTTGCGATTGCTATGTGATGTCATACATATTTCGTACGTTACTCACAAATTCTAAATGTCAAACTGAATTTTCAAGCCGGTTAAGTATGAAGCACTGCACAAACTGCATTTATTTTTAATCTTTTTTGCCACCTGTGTATTTTCTTACAAATACCGGGAACTGTACGATACGAATAGGGTTGCCAATTTTACCCGAATTTAACTACGTAATATAGTAATTTAGTAAATAATTTATTTATAAAAAATAAGGTTGGCAAACGAACGTACAGTCCACCACATGGTGAGTGGCTACTAATATTCAAAATGCAAATGTGTTGTCACCTCTAAGGCCTAAGATGGAATGCTTCGATTCCAGTAGAGTTCTCGTTTTCTACATTCACCATACGAAACTGATCAGCTTTAAGCTGCTATTTTAGGCTGGTATTCTATGAGAGCGTGGTTCTATCTCGATCGAGCAGACCCATTCGTGCTATACCCACAATGTAGCCGTAGTATAACTCTACCCTTAGTGTATTTATAATAGTTTGCTTATAAATACTTTAATAACTCTACGACATAAATTATAGTCATTTCATTAATACTCCAGTCAGTCCATCTGACATTAAGATACAGCGCTACAGCAGCCCTTTGACACTTCAAAAGAAAAATATTCCACAAGTGGTAAAATTAAAAAAATATACAACCGACTTCAACATACTCGTAAAAAAACACTCTACCGACTTCGATAAAATTTAAATGGGACCAATTATGACTCATTGAAACAAAAAAAGAAATTTCCAAATCGGTTCCGGTGTTTTCGAGTAATCGGTGAACATATAAAAAAGTAAGATTCTGACGAATTGAGAACCTCCTCCTTTTTCGAAGTCGGTTAAAAGGGCCACAAACACTGTCACACCTATAGATTAAGTTGAATCGTATCACAGCCTGTAATTATACTAGCTTTCTAAATCTTCAGACCTGAACACAGCAGAAAGTCCACTGTGCTTGACGCTAGAAAAAGAGTACCTACCCTGATCATAGGATTGATTAGACGTGGAATGGTAGTGTACCCTTTTTACTGGAAACGAGGCATTCCATCGTAGTCCTCACGGGTGATAACGCATCTGCATTTTGATTCGTAATCGATGATGATCATCATAACGTTTGATGTAGATGTCTATGGGCCACAACAACTTACCAAACAAAGTGCACCTAACAAAAAAAAACAAAGTAAAGGAATCCACTACCCCATATAGTCCCGCGGGTGCCGTAAGAGGTGACAGAGGCAAACAAAAGAAGATGGGCGCCAGCTTCTTCTTAATAACAACCAGAAATAAAAACTGCGGTAACCTGCCAAGAGTGGCAACTATGGCAAAGAGGCTCGTATGAAGCAATTTATGTGGAGGCCAATGTTCAGCGGTGAACTTAGACTGTGTTTTTACGTGATAGAGCCCTGCTGCAGTTATATTAGTAGTATAGTTATAGCACGAATGGGTCAGCTCGACCGGGGAAGGACCACGCTCTCACAGAATACCAGCGTGAAATAGCAGCTCCTCACGGATGACAACGCATCTGCATTTTGATTCGTAATCGAGGATAGATGTAGATGTCTATGGACCACAGCAACCACTTACCATCAGGTGGACTGTGTACTCGTTTGTTATCCTATCCTATATAAAAAAATACATTGTATATGAAGATGACAAAGTAAATAATTTAGGGAGTAATTTACATGTAATCTAAAGAAATAAGTTTAGCGTAATTAATGTAAGAAACGTTGGGAGCTGGGACTACCATGCACAATTTTGTATTAACGCCCCGAAATCTGAATAATACATACTTGATATAACAAGCCTACAAGAAACAAAAAAAAAAAATACTTAACGAATTTCTCGATTTGACGAATTTTTCGAAATTCCCTTGAACCGCCCGTAAGAGCTAATGCAAAATATACCTCTACATAACGAATACATTTATCAAAAACCTCTTTATTACGTATTTGTACTCATTACAGAATATAGATAGAAGGTATTATTTACTTCTATTTAACGAATAATTTTAACTTAGAACCTTGACATGACGTATCTTATTATATAGTTATTCCCAATTAATTCCACAATAAATCATGCCTTGATAGGTTCAGAAGTACTGAACCTTTTTTTTTATTCATAGAAAAAGGGCTTTGTCCCTGATGCGATTATGACGCCCTGATAGTTGCAACAGAAATCTTAAATAGAACGAATAACACACAAAAAGTTTTTGGCATAATCTGATAACGGGTCTGATGAAATACTATTAGTACTGCCTATCAATGACAAGCATTAAACCCTGTAAAGACCTTGTTCAAACGAATCGTAGTCCAACCTAACCTAACGAGTAACTTGGTATAACGAATATTTTCTAATTACCTTTAGTTTCATTATATCGAGGTTGCACTGTAATATGAATTTATGCTGAGAGAAAATATTTTTATGATACGTATTTCGTAATATATATATATATATATATATATATATATATATATATATATATATATATATATATATATATATATATACCAAGTTGACAACCCTAGCTACTAGGACAGGTGCGTTACATAGCAAACATCCGGCTAAGCTGCAGGTGTACTGTATCGGCTTACGGATTCCTTTTTAACTATAGTGTATTTATAAAACTTGGTATAAGTTGTTTAGGGAAATGTATAATGGCAGGGTTCTATAACGATCATAACAGCACGCATAACCCTTGGATGGAACAACTGCATAGCGGGAAGGTCACACTTTGCGTAATCTCCTCATCGACGCTGAAGTCGATCCTCGCGGGTTTTATTTTTATAGAGTAAAAGTGACAAACGAGCACACAGTCCACCTGATGGTAAGTGGTCACCCCTGAGGGCTAAGATGGAATGCCCCGTTTGTAGTAAAAAAGGGTCTCCGGATCTCTGCACTCACCGTACGAAACACAGCAGTATTAAGCTACTATTCGCTGTAGCACGAATTAGTCGGCTCGACCGGGGAAGGACCACGCACTCACAAATTAACTGCGTAAGATAACAGCTTAATACTGCTGTGTTTCGTATGGTGAGTGTAGAGGCCCTTTTTTACTGGAAACGAGGCATTCCATCTTAGTCCTCACGGGTGACAACGCATCTGCATTTTGATTCTCAATCGTGGATAAATGAGGAAAAAAGATGTCTATGAGCCACAACATCCACTTACCGTCAGGTGAACTGTGTGCTCGTTTGTCCCCCAACTTCTACATATAAAGAATAGCCTTGGTCACTCCTGACATTGCTCTTCATCTGCTTGTAAGGTTTCGTCACAATCAGTTCAGCCACTCTGAAGATTAGTCTGGACGGAGACAGAGCACGCCATAAATTTAAGAAAAATATATACTTGTCTTCATTCATTATAAATGAAATGAAATGAAATGAAATGAAATATTTGAAATAGTTATTTGCGTTTGATTAAGGTATACTGAAGATGGTAATATTAATTAAAAATCCACTTAATCAATCGGCTATTTTTAACGGCATGCAAATCTTACAACTATAAACTAACGAGTTAATAATATGTATGAATAAAATGTCTAAAATAACAAAATGTCAACAAATAATTAATAAATAGGTAACACTTTTTTTATAGAAGAGGGGGCAAACGAGCATGCGGCTCACCTGATGTTAAGTGACTACCGCCGCCCATGATCAACCGCAACACCAGGGGAATTGCAGGTGCGTTGCCGGCCCTTTAGAAAGGAGTAAGCTCTTTTCTTGAAGGTCCCCAGGTCGTATCGGTCCGGAAAAATCGCCGGTGGTAAACTATTCCACAGAGAGGTTGTACGCGGAAGAAAACTCCTTTTGAAACGTACTGTGGTGGACCGCCAAGCATCCAGATGGTGTGGATGGCATCGGGACGTTTGCCGCGTAGTGCGTTCACGAAATTTGGCGGCTGGGATTAATCCGAACAATTCCTCAGAGCACTCTCCATGGTATATGCGAAATAAAATGCAAAGAGATGCAACATCTCTTCGCAGTGCCAGTGAATCGAGCCGATCGGAAAGCACTCGGTCGTCGACGATTCGAGCCGCTCTGCGCTGGATGCGGTCAAGTG